TTGACTCGTTGGCAGAGAGCAAAGAAGAACTAAAGAATCTCTTGATGAAAGTGAAAGAGGAGAGTGAAAAAGTTGGCTTAAAACTCAACATTCAGAAAACTAAGATCTCAGCATCTGGTCCTGTCACTTCATGGCAAATAGATGGGGAAACAATGGAAACAGTGGGAGACGTTATCTTCTTGGGCTCCAAAATCACTGCAGATGTTGACAGCAGCCATGAAATTAAAAGATGCTTGCTCCTTGGAAGAAAAGTTGTGACCAACCTAGACAGCATATTATAAAGCATAGACATTACTTTGCCAACAAAGCTCCATCTAGTCAAAGCTCTGGTTTTTCTGGATGTGAAAGCTGAAGTATAAAGAAAGCAGAAGTGATGCTTTTGAGCTGTGGTATTGGAAAAGACTCTTGAGTCCCTTGGACTGCAAGGAGATCCAACAAGTTAATCCCAAAGAAAATCAGTCCTGAATATTCCTTGGAAGGACTGATACGGAGGCTGAAACTCCAATAGTTTGGCCACCTGATGCGAAGAACTGACTTATTTGAAAATACCCTGATGCTGGGAAAGACTGAAGGTGGGAGGAAAAAGGGACAACAGAGAATGAGATGGTTGGATAGCATCACTGACTCGATGGACATGAGTTTGAGTAAACTCTGGGAGTTGGTGATGGACAGGGAGGCCTGGCTTGCTGCAGTCCTGGGGTTGCAAAGAGTTGGAAGTGACTTAACTGAACTGAACTCCTAATTTCAAAAATCAGAAAAACAATAATATGAGTATTCAGATTCTGGTCACTAGAGAAAAAGATTCCCCAATTAAAGAAAAAAAAGAGAGAGAGAGCTGGAGATGTGATGAGCATGAAGGGACTGGAGAAGGAAGCAAGGGTAAGGAAGGGTGACATGAGCCCTGATTTCCGGGCCCTGTGTCCTGTTCAGGACGAATCTCTGGACTCAAAATCCCAGAGAGAAGAAGATGCATAGAGAATCTGGGAAGAATGTGTCAGCATGATGGTGAGTTCAGTACCTCAACACAGCATGGCATCCCACACTTGTACACAGACCACGGAAGGGGCCAACCAGACAGGAAAGAGAGATGTGTCAGACCCGACTGTGGACTGAGGACTAGGCGGGAAGATGGACATCGATGCAGATATCCCTGAGGGCAGGTGACATGAAGGGTCCACTCTCCTCGGATGCAGTAGAGGGGGTCACTTTTTACCCCCCAGTCTCACTGAGACACAACAGACACACAGCACCGCATCACTTTAAGGTGAGCAGCGCAGTGACTGTTTTTCAGCACAGTGATTGTTTGACTGACATACATCATGAATTGATTATCACAAAAAGTTTAGTGAACATCCGTTACCTCATATAGATACAAAATAAAAGAAAAAAGGAAAAATATGTCCTTGTGATAAGAACTCTTAGGGTTAGTCTCTTAGCTTTCATATTCAACATACAGAAGTGCTAATTATGTTAATCATGTGGCACATTACAGCCCTAGTACCCATCTATCTTACAACTGGAAGTCTGTACCTTTTGATCACCTTTATCCAATTGCTTCTCCCCTGACCCTCTCCTGGGCTATGAGTTTGTTTTTTTCTTTAGATTTTTTTTAATATAATTGACCTACAAACACAATGTTAATTCCTGGATGCAACATATTGAGTGGATATTTCTATGGATTATAAAATGATCACCACAATAAGTCATCTGTCATCATACAAAGATATTACATTACTACTGACTACACTATCCAGGCTGTACATTTCATCCTCAGGACTCATTTATTTTGTAAGTGGAAGTCTGTACCTCTTAATCTCTCACAACTATTTCTCTAATTTCTTCCACCCTGCCAGACTGGCAGAGCACAAATAGATATCAAATCAAGATATAAAATATATAAAAGTTATAAATAGAATTATAAAAGAATTATAGATAGAATTAAGAATTAAAATAACAAAAACAAAAAAATTATACATGTGTACACACACACAAAAAATAGATCTTGCCTACCTGAACTGAGCCCTGAAGAGCAAGCATATCTTCTACACCTGGTTATCAGGGGCCACACCATTCCATTATAAGCATTCAAAAAATGACTTTTCCTTAGAAAAATTGAAGATTTTATAAGTGGGAGAAAAAAAAATCTCAAGATTCTCAAGGGAATTCTGGGTAACTCTCAGTAATTTAGACAAGTTTCTTTCACGAAGAAAGACATCAAATTTAATGTATTCTAGGTCTATGTATTTCACACTTTAAGAGGGAAAAAAGGTGTGTTTAATTATAAATCTATTACTATAAAAGTTACATCATTAAAACATCTAGGCTTAAAATTGTCATTAATGAGCTTTTTTTAAAATTACAAACATGAGAACCTTGATATTAATTTTAAATATATTGGCTATATTCTAGATGAAATGACTTTTTATGAGGCTCATATTATTCTTAGTCCTTAGTCTTGCATAAATTTCATAGAACATTAGAACATCAATTTTAAATTGGCAAATATGCTAGGTCACTAGCTGCATGTGTCTAATTTGGCTGATAATCAAAGGCATATATAGTTCATTTTTTACAGAATTGCATTCAATTAGCTGAAATTACAATTTCGAGCTAGTTGAATGCACCAGCCATACTCTTATTACCCTGTAATAAATGGTCTCCACAGAGCCTCGCTTAGAGATGAGATACGCTGAGAGGAATTCGTACATATAGGAAATAAATTCAATCAAGAGGTCTATTCCACCTGCGCCCTCCTGCTACGTCACTTCAGCCAGGTCCAGCTCTCTGCGACCTTACGGACTGCAGCCTGCCAAGTTGCTCTGTCCGTTGGATTCTGCAGGCGAGAATACTGGGGAGGGTTGCCATGCCCTCCTCTGGCGAATCTTCCCGACCCCAGGACCAAACCCTTTTCTCCTGCGGCTCCTGCGTTGGCAGGTGGGTTCTTTATCGACAGCGCCACCTGGGAAGCCCACATTTCACCCTGGGCTTCATTAAAGTCCTCTCAAAAAAGTCACCGGGAGGGACTTTCCTGGGGGTCCACTGCTTGACTCCAGGCTCCCAAAGCAGCGAGCACAATGGAATCCCTGGTCGGAAGAGCCCACATGCCACGTAATATGGCCCCAAAAAGCTGCCTGGACGCTTGAGAGAAGCTGGACAGGCCCCTGGTTCGGTGCGGCGCCAACACGCGGGCACCCGGTTCCCTGAGGCCAGGAGGACTGCGCAGCGCGGACAAGCTGCCCGGCCACGTTCCCATGGAAAGAACCTGAAGCAGCAGCTCCACACGCGCGAGAAGCTCGCAAGACGCTCCCGCACAGGAGGCCAGGCGTCGTGCGGGCTGAGGACGCGCGTGGGCTGTAACCGTGGCGAGCCTGACTCTGCGCCCGCTGCGCTGGCCGACGGCAGAGCAAGCACGGCGCCTGTCAGTGACGCCGGCGAAGCATCGGGCGCCGCCGCCGCACGTGGGCGCACGCCCCACCCAGCCCGCGGGACACCGCGCTGGCGCCCTCAGAGCGCCGTCTGACAGGGGGTGTCTCTCCCACCACCCTGGTCCACCCTCCGTCCCTGCGCCTTCGGGCAGAATTGTAATTAAAAATAACATCGCCGTTTAAAATGGTAATTTAAAAATACACGCACACCTCTGCGGTGACTAGTCCCAACTGGCAGTATCAAATGTCTGTACGGCCAANATTACTGATCAGGGCACAGACTTGGATTACTGTGATATTGAATGGTTTGCCTTGGAAACGAACAGAGATCATTCTGTCATTTTTGAGATTGCATCTGAAAACTACATTTCAGACTCTTTTGTTGACTATGATGACTACTCCATTTCTTCTAAGAGATTCCTGCCCACAGTAGTAGATATAATGGTCATCTGAGTTAAATTCACCCATTCCAGTCCATCTTAGTTCACTAATCCTAGAAAGTCGATGTTCACTCTTGCCATCTCCTATTTGACCACTTCCAATTTGCCTTGATTCATGGACCTAACATTCCAGGTTCCTATGCAATATTGCTGCTTACAGCATCGAACCTTGCTTCTGTCACCAGTCACATCCACAACTGGGTGTTGTTTTTGCTTTGGCTCCATCCCTTCATTCTTTCTGGAGTTATTTCTCCACTGATCTCCAGTAACATACTGGGCACCTACCAACCTGGGAAGTTCATCTTTCAGTGTCCTATCTTTTTGCCTTTTCATACTGTCCATGGGGTTCTCAAGGCAAAAATACTCAAGTGGTTTGCCACTCCCTTCTCCAGTGGACCACATGTGACCATTAGGAACAAGAGTATTAAAATGTCATCAGTAGGAGGATGGGTACAGGAGAAAACATATGTTTTTTGAAAAGGCATGATGAGTGGAAAAAAATAAAAGTACTGTTAGAAGCAAAGTTGGTTACAATGGTGTCATGTAAATACTAGTCATTACTGATTTAAAAACTGCACAAATTATTTATATGCCTACATACATACCCTGTCAATGACTAATGTCTTCAATGTGCAGTTAGTAGGACTATTAAGACAATTAAGAACTTTTAAAATAATAGATTCCTAAGCTTTCTGTTATTAACAATCTAAATCATACAACTTTATGGGAGAAGTAAGCCAATTCAGGCATTCCAAATAGTTTTATTAGAAATTCTTCTAGTTCTGGTTTCACTGAGTGATCTATCACATTCTGAGAAAATAGCAGGGTTTTGAAAGTCGTCATAAATAATCTATTCCCTTATCAAAGGGAATATTTTTGCTACATGCATTTACAAACATAAGTTCAAACTTGTCAAAAAGATGTGATATAATGGTGCTGAAATTGCTGAGGTTACTTATCTCTTTTATTTCTAGAATATCTCAAAGAACTCAGCCAAACTTTTGTGCAGAGGGAACAAAAATAAGGAGAGTGGATTAAAAATTGATTTGAGATATTCTATGGACATTATTTCATTAGTTTTAAAAATGAAACTAACAATCACTTAAAACATTCTTAAATTTTTTTTTCTTTGTTAGTTTGGTCAGATCAGAGTTCAACTGGGATTAAAATTTAGTGTATTCTGAGTCATTTCTAAAGAAGAGTCAGTACCCTTTAAGAACTGCTGCTACCAGAAGAGAGACAACCAGCCAGGTAGGTTAAGAATTTAATTAAACTATAACAAAGCCAAGGGCAAGAATTGCAAATCCATGCTTTCTGAACTTCAGAAATTTACACCAAGCTGACCTTTTAAATTAATGTTGGTTTACTGTACCAATGTGTAAGAAATTCACCCACTCTCTAGGCATTTGTTTGTAAACTTAAGCCATAGCAGGACAGATCAAAATCAAATATTCAAGTGCCTACTGTATGCCAAATCCTGGGTGAGATACTCCAGGGGCTTTCCACACTTTAAATGCTTTTAATAAGATAACCTCAAAAATGACTTTTGACAAACTCATTCTTCACCTGCTGTTCTAACTCAAGCTACTCTCAGAAATAATATTCAAGGAAAGAGTACATCTGAAACACCATGACCCTAATCATCTACTCTCATACCTCACAATTGCGAGTAAATAGCCTGTCAGGGGCAAATCCAATTTTTCTTTGCTGCCAAAAGCCCTCCAACCAAGCCTGTAACTTCTTTAGACATATTTTTATAGAGAGTCAAGTTCACAAAGTATGAATGACTATGAATGATCTTGCTATTTTTAGCTGATATTCCTGTGTATAAATGCACCTAAACTATTCTCATGTACACACATGTGCTCATACTATTAATGTTATTCATTCAGAATATTTAATCATAGAATTTCCTCTCCACCTAAAATATTTTGTTAAACAAAAGAGGACTGATGTGATTGAATGATGGCAAGAAAACCCATGTCAATCACACTGTGAGATGATCATATGCATAATTTGAAATTAGGAGACTCCTGGGGATCTTTGCAAGATTTCACTGAAGAAGTACACAGCTTTCGGTGGATTCATAACCATTAATCTTCCCTTTTATTTGAATAATTATATATCTATCAACTGAAAGTGAATTATAGAATGTCATTTGATCATAGTCAGTCATTGTGATGGAGTCAACCAAGAGGCCAGGTGTTCCAGCCATAAAACTAATCAGTCAAAAATTTTTGAGAACACTGAAGAATATGAATTCAACTGTTTCACTATGGAAGTACACTTGCTATGCACATAAAGTGAATGCTTATAAGTCAGATATTACTTTTGCTTTAAATAATAAAACTGATGCTATATTTCTAAGAAAGTATAAATAAAGAAAAACAATATGTTAAATTTTTAAAATCTCTCATTTTTTACATTGTTGTTTAAAACTTTTATTCCTTTTAAAGCAATTATTCTATTTCTGAGAACTTACTCTAATGAAATAATTAGAATTCTACTTAAATTAGAACTTTTTTCTGAGTATTATTTAGAAGCAATAAAATTATATAAATAGCCTGAGTATCACTCATTAAAAGATTAATTTGTAAATTATGGCAAATTTATCTAACAGATAAACTCATTCTTTAAATAATATGTTTTCAAATAATTTTTGATACTTAAAGAAATTTTCATGGTGTAGTGTTAAAAAACAAAACAGTAAAATAAAAGTATATACATTATTTAACATTTTATATATATAAATGTACTGAAAAGAGGACTTGAAGAGAATAAATTAAAATGACATCTGTGCAACTCTATGAATAGTAAGATTATATAATTTCCTTTTTATACTATTATGTACTGTACACATTTCCTGTGATAATGTTATAATACTTTTTATTCAGCATATCATTATTTCTTTTTTAAGAGGACAGGCAAAAGGAAACGCTTGGAGGTAATGGAAGTGTTTATGGCACAGGCTATGTTGACTGAAAAAAAATGTACAACTTTAAAGTTGAAAGGAGTTCCCTGGAAGTCCAGTGGTTAAGACTCCATGCTTCCAATTCAGGTAGCATGGGTTCAATCCCCAGTCAGGGAACTAAGATCTCACATGCCATGTGACGAAAGTAAAAGAAAAAAAAAAAGAGTTGAGAGTTATGTTTTATTCGGTGGACAAAGCTGAGGACTTAAATCTGCAATGTGATTTCTCAGATAGCTCTGATGAACTGCTCCAAAGAGGCAAGGCAGGGAGCCCAGATATACAGGACTTTTTGCATTGAAGACTAGGTATCTGGAACATCAAAAAACTACTGTTAATAAAAGAAAACCAGGCATCTTAAATTAGAGAATTTAGTGCTCTTCTACGTATGGAAGATGCAAGCGTTTGAGCTCACTGAATTCATTCCTTTGATACGCACCTCAGCGCTCTGGGGCCCTATCTCGGGCTCTTTCAGCCTGAGTTTCCTCGGGGTGCACCGCCAGGCGTGGAGGTAGGGTGTCTGCCGTGGCCGGTGATGCAATGGCGGGCGTTATGCTTCCATCCTGAGTTCCACCAGGGCTCCCCGTAGAGTAGCTACAGTGACCGATGGCTGCAAGACCCTTCGTTTACTGTTATGACAGGCAGCATGTTTAGTTCACAGTTGTGACGATAATTTCACACGTGTTATCTCCAAACTCATCAGATTGTTTACATCATTTCTGTACATCTTTTTGTATGTCAATCATACATACCTCGAAAGAGTGTTCTTTTAAGAGATATTTTAATTGTTAATTTTGTTTAAATATTTCTAATACTCAAAATTTCATTAACAATAAGAACTAGATGTATGCAAAAGTATCTTGAAACACTTCACAGTATTTCATCCATCCAAAAATGTTATGTGCTAGATGCTACAAATCAATGATTTTTTTTATAATTGCTGCTTTATTTTTAAATTTAAGTACTTAGTATTTTAACAAGTGTTGTTTACTGTTTTTTTTTTGTTTGTTTTATTATATTTTTCTTAGTTTTTTTCTTGTCTGAAAGTCTGTTTTGTTCTTCCACTAAAGTAATCAATAACCATGAATGGTTACTTGATTAATATATTTACATAAGATCTAGTTGCCACTCAATTATGAAATGAATGTTCCACAGCAACCTCTTCTAAAGTGCTGTCTATCATAAATTGGTCCCATTATCAAATAAGTTTGGAAAACACTACTTAATATCTCCCACCACTTTCCAACTTAGAAAGTTAGAATTTAAACATGGAGAGTTCTTGAGAAGTACAGTTGTATAAGAACCTGTATGACTTTACTTAGTCAACTCTCCCAAAACTTGTTTTTTATAGAATCCTTTCCTAGAATATTTATTTTAGTAATCTGAAAAACTAGTGTTTGGGAGCAGTGCTTAGCAAGATTCAATCTGTAAAATAATCACCTGGGGAAAATGTTGCACTTGGTAATCTGAACTAGTCAGTCAAGGATGAGGTTTGAGAGTCTGCATTTCTAACAATCTGCCTGGCAATGTCTGCACTGCACATTTGCTGACCACACTTTGAGTCCCCATATGAGACAGAATAGACTCTAGCAAGTGGCCAAAAGCCTGAGACATACCCTACAACCACACACAACCATACCCTCATTTTTTTATTCCAACTAATATTTTTTTATTCCAACAGATTTTAAGTATCAAAGATTATAATTGCACATTGTTGAGAAGTATGGAACAAAATACAATGATTGCAGGACAACTGTTTTACAAAATTGTGTTGGCCTCTGCTCTCGTCAACATGAAGGAGCCACAGGTATAATCCGTCCCCTCCCTGCTGAACCCGCTCCCGTCTCCCATCCCATCCCACCCCTCTAGGTCGTCACAGAGCACGGGGCTGAACTCCCTGTCTTACACAGAGAATTCTCACTTGCTATCTACTTTATATATGGTAGTGTATATGTTTCCATGCTATTCTCTCAATTCGCCTCACTCTCTCCTTTCCTCACTGTGTCTGCAAGTATGTTCTCTATGTCTGCATCTCCATTGTTGCCCTGCAGATAGGTTCATCAGTACCATCTTTCTAGATTCCATATGCATTCAACTAATATCCACCATTTTTTAATTTAAACTAGCATTCTTTCATTAGATATTTATTGACTACACAGGTATTGTGTCAGGTGAGTACTAAACATTATGTTTAAAAATTAGTATCTGAAAAGGTAATTGCTTTAGCTTAGAGAAATGTCTAATGTTGCCTTTCCACACGGGTTAATTCATAGTCCAAACAACCTGGTTGAATCTGTTATTGAATGGGCACTTATCATTAAATGCCTGAAGTTCAGGTTGGGCTCTTGGAAGCAATTAACTCAGATAGAAGCTCATCTGCATGGAGCACCTTAATTTGTATCAGCATTTCTTTTTGAGGAGTCCATAACTGCTTTGTTATGTCAACTTTGAGACCAAGAGTGAACTTCTGCTAATTTTCTAAAGTCATGTAAATTATCTTAAAGACAAAGAACACAAGGCAAGACTCTACCCGTGGACGTCACCAGGTAGTCACACCGAAATCAGACAGATTATAGTCTGCAGCCAAAGGTGGAGGCGCTCTTACAGGCAGCAAAAACAAGACCAGAGGCTGACTGCGCCTCAGATCATGAACTCCTTATTGCCAAATTCAGACTTTAATTGAAGAAAGTACAGAAAACCACTAAACCATTCAGGTATGACTTAAATCAACTCCCTTACAATTATACAGAGGAAGTGACAAATAGATTCAAGGGATTAGATCTGACAGAGTGCCTGAAGAACTATGGCGGAGGTTCATGACATTCTACAGGAGGCAGTGATCAAGACCATCCCCAAGAAAAAGAAATGCAAAATGGTTGTCTAAGGAGGCCATTCAAATAGCAGAGAACAGAAGAGAAGTGAAAGGCAAAGGAGAAAAGGAAAGATATACCCATGTGAATGCAGAGTTCCAAAGAACAGCAGAGATAAGAAAGGCTTCTTCTGTGATCAATGCAAAGAAATAGAATGGGAAAGACTAGAGATCTCTTCAAGAAAATTAGAGCTATCAAGGGAACATTTCATGCAAAGATGAGCACANCTACCTCAAAGCCTTTGACTGTGTGGACCACAACAAACTGTGGAAAATTTCTAAAGAGATGGGAATAGCAGACCACCTGACCTGCCTCTTGAGAAGTCTGTTTTCAGGTCAAGAGGCAACAGTTAAAACTGGACATGGAACAACAGACTGGTTCCAAATCGGGAAAGGAGTACACGTCAAGGCTGTATATTGTCACTCTGCTTATTTAACAAATATGCAGAGTACATCATGAGAAATGCTGGGCTGGAGGAAGCACAAGCTGGAATCAAGATTGTCAGGAGAAATATCAATAACCTCAGATACACAAATGACTCCACCCTTATGGCAGAAAGCAAAGAACAACTAAAAAGCCTGTTGATGAAAGTGAAAGAGGAGAGTGAAAAAGCTAGCTTAAAACTCAACATTCAGCAAACTAAGATCATGGCATCCGGTCCCATCACTTCATGGCAAATAGATGGGGAAACAATGGAAATAGTGAGAGACTTTATTTTGGGGGGCTCCAAAATCACTGCAGATGGTGACAGTGGGCATGAAATTAAAAAGACGCTTGTTCCTTGGAAGAAAAGCTATGACCAACCTAGACAGCATATTAAAAAGCAGACATTGCTTTACTAACAAAGGTCTGTCAAGTCAAAGCTATGGTTTTTCCAGTAGTCATGTATTACTGTGAGAGTTGGACTATAAAGAAAGCTGAGCACCGAAGAATTGATGCTTTTGAACTGTGGTTGTTGGAGAAGACTCTTGAGAGTCCCCTGGACAGTAAAGAGATCCAACCAGTCCATCCTAAAGGAAATCAGTCTTGAATATTCATTGGAAGGATTGATGCTGAAGCTGAAACTCCACTATTTTGACTACATGATGCGAAGAACTGACTCACTGGAGAAGACCCTGATGCTGGGAAGGATTGAAGGTGGGAGGAGAAGGGGACGACAAAGGATGAGATGGTTGGATGGCATCACCAACATGATGGATATGAGTTTGAGTAGGCTCTGGGAGTTGGTGACAGACAGGGAAGCCTGGCGTGCTGCAGTCGACGGGGTTGGGACACGGCCGAGCGCCTGAACTGAACTGAATAATGAAAGTTATTGTTGTTGCTGTTCAGTCACTAAGTCATTTCTGACTCAGTTACCCCATGACTGTAGCATGCCATGCTCCTCTGTCCTCCAGTATCTCGGAGTCTGCTCAAACTCACGTCCATCAACCTGGTGACGCTCTCTAACCACTCCATCCTCTGTCGCCTGCTCCTCCTCTTGCCTTCAGTCTTCCCCAGCATCGGGTCTTTTCCAGTGAGTTGACTCTTCACATCAGTTGGCCAAAGAATTGGAGTTTCAACCCTAGCATGAACCCATTCATCAGTCCTTCTCATGAATAGTCAGGGTTGATTTCCTTTAGCATTGACTGGCTTAATCTCTTTGCAGTCCAAAGGACTCTCAAGAGTCTTCTCCAACACCACAGTTAGAAAACATCAATTCTTCAGCATGGTACAGCTCTCACATCCATACATCACTACTGGAAAAATCATAGTTTTTTCCATGTGGACCATTTGCATCGCTTAATTTTTATTTGTCTAAAGCAGCAGTCTCAGACTGGGGCAAATTTATGCCTCAGGGGACACCTGACTTTGTCTGGTGACATTTTTATTGTTGCACTCTTTACATGGGGGGAGGGGTGTGTTCCACTGCAATCCAGTGAGTAGAGACCAGAAATGCTGATATACAACACACAGGACTGTCCCCCATGACAAAGTATTCTCTGGCCCAAATCAATGCCCTGATCTAGGTTAAGAATTTGTGCTTTTTTCTAATATCTTCTTCGATCTGATTCAAGTCATAGATAGGAAAGCTTAGAAAAATAATGTGCAAAGTCCTAAACCTTGTTTCACCTAGGGTAGATTTAATGCTGATTTGCAAACAGAAGTGAAGAAGAGGGAAACTATACTGGTCATCAGCTCTCTGGGGAAGATGAAGGTGCTCAGCCGTCTTTATTGTCCAACTCTAAGAAGTTACTAAGAAGTTCAGTGGCTATGGTCACAGGGAAGGGATTGGGCCATTATCTAGTTATAAGTGGTCAGTATGTCACTTTGCATGTGTACATGTTGGGTTTCTATAAACCAGTGAAAAGGCTAAGATTTTTCACAGACCTTTTAGGAAGAAAAAAAAATCACAATTTCAAAGTAGGTGCCAAAATAGTCATGAAAAATGGCAGACAGTCCTCCCAAGTTAAAGCTGTATGGTAGTGAACAATGTGCTTAATCTCTTTGTTCATCCAGACCTGAGTTGAAGATTAAAATTAAGATAACATATGATGACGAGAATGAATTACTTTCTGCCCAAACGTCCTTGTTATTCAACACACTGATGCCAACTATTTTCCTACCCCAAACCCAACATTAAGACTGTTTTAGGGATATCAGATATTCACTCAGTGTAAGAATAAAGTTAATTAGGAAAAAGGACTGGGTGAATCAGGAAGATATGGAAAGAGGACAGTGGTCAGAGAGAGCTCTAGTCTGGTACAGATCAGGAACCATTTCAAAGCCCAGAGAAACAGAATAGACACCTGTAAGCATGGCTTATCCAGATTCAACATGAATATGATTGATGACTACATGGAATGTTACATAGGACCAGGCAGTTCTACATGAGCATTTCATTACACTGAGCTCAGAAACTAAGGGTTGTGAATATGCTTAGACACATAAGCAACATATGGTTGCATAGATGACATGCCATTTTTATGAGTATAGTAGGCAACCAAACTTACCATGTTATGTCTCAATTTTATCAATACACAAAACCACTAGAGTAACAAAAAGGAGTATATATATTGGGAATTTTATTTTTTTAACTTAACTGATAATGTGTCTATAAAAATTAACAGTTTGAACTAGAGAAAGATGTAACAGTGGGTTCTTTGAAATGTAGGTTATATAGATTTGAAAGTAAAAAAAAATAATTGGACATGGTGGCATATGCAGAACTAAATAACAGGATTCAAAAGGTGCTGTGATGTGCTTATAAAAATTAATAGAGTGATGACTGGGGAAGAGTGCTGTTCCAGTAGATTCCTTGGGATGTAGAATATGTCGGTTTGAAGTGAAGAGCAATTGAACGTGGTGGTATCTGGACAGCTAGATGACAGGACTCAGATGCTTAATCGGGTTTCCATAGCTTTAACCCAGCCAAAGTAGCTGAGATGGGTGCTGCATGCCGGGGCAGCTAGGGATCCCTGGAGAGGCTGTCACCTTCAGGGGGGACCAGGTGCACTGGGCACAGTACTGAGAACAAATGAGACTCTGAGAAGGACGGTGGAGGCCAAAACACAACCGTACTGAGCAAGGACGGAAGTCGGTGTGTGCCCAGCCGTCAGGAGGAGCCCATACGACTCCACGGCAAGGAGTCATGACTAGAAGGACACTGGACGTTTAGAAATAAAAATCTGACAGTGGCACCAGGCTTAGGATAAAAGTAGTTTAAGGCTGGTAATTGAATTTTTCACTATAGGAGAGCAATGCGGTTCATGGCCCAATGGCATCAGAAGCATTACCTGGGCATACATTTAAAGCTCAGGCAGATGAGCTCCATGCGTCTGGGTCAGCAGCTCCTTGCTGTGTATTGTAAAAAGCTTCTACGAGTTTCCAGTTTGACTGAGGTGCACACTCAAGAATGAGAAGCCCTGTGGCTGAGATGAGAAATGCCACACAGTGGGCAGCGGTCCCAGACCTCCATGGGCTGGTCAAGGACACAGCCAGAGGGGGTCTGCAGCATCTCCTCTCGGGGCACTGCACGAACCCCTGCCCGTCAGGGTCCCCCCGGGAGCCTGGTGAGATCATACCTCATATAAGTGACTTCTTCAGTTTATTTTCTTCTGTTACAATCACAATACAGTGTAATGTGAAATAGAAAGTATCTCATAAGTACGTCATTTTAGACGTCATGACTTATTTCTCTACATTCAAAATAAGCTCAATAAATACTGGTTTGAAGGAACTAACAGTATTAGAGAAAAAGATGGAAGAAAAAGAAGATGCTTGGTTAAAAAACAATATAATGTAAAGGATGGAAAACTATTTTATATTCAAATAAGAACCAGTTAATAAATAGAAAAAAAATTCATTCAAATGTATAACAAAGAAATCAAACCAAAAAAAAAGTAATAATCTAAGATAAAAAATGTTCAGACCTTATGTGAAGAAAAAGTCAACATTCTGGTAATAAGTATAAAAAATGATTAATAGAAGGATATCTTATTCTTAGTAAGATACAACATTAAAAACATTTATAAGTTTTATAAATTGGTGACATTTATAAGTCACCATTCCTAATAAAAACTGCAACTAGGTCTCCACTTCTTTTTTATCTTTCCAAGAAATAATAGTCAAATATATATAACATAAAATTCACCAGTTTAACCATTTTTAAGTATAGGTTCAGTGGCATTAGGTACATTTATAGTTTTCTGCAACCATCATCACCATCCACCTTCAGAACTTTTGTTTTCTCAAACTGAAATGTATTAAACACAATTCTCCATTTTTCTGCACCCTCCAACCCCCAGCATCTCCCATTATACTTTCTCTCTTTATTAATTTGACTTACTCTAGGTATCTCAATGAAGTGGAATCATACAATTTTGTCATTTTGCCACTGGCTTATTCCATTTAGCATAATATGTTCAAGGTTTATCCAT